GGAGTGAATACGGAGTTTTGACTTTGACTGTTCCAGAATTATCCTGTTTACATTTCGGTAAAATTCATTGATTGTCATGCACAGCTCCCTTTCTTTAAGCCTTGCACTGTAGTACTGTTTTGAAGTAATTGCAGCTGTCCACTGCCCAGAGCCGTGTCTTCACAAAATTCATTAAAATCGTTCGTTTTCTCGACGCAGAACTGTTCTGACGATGCAGCCAAACACAGTTGTCCAACTCAGACCCGCATGTTGTTTTACACACTTCCAGTTCTAGGCGTTATGTTGACTGTATTGTCTTCAGTTGCTCGATACAACACCTGTATTCAGCAACAGTTCCAGGGTTTCATTTCCATTTTTCGGTTATGACATTTGCTGCGCTGAAGTGATTCTTAAGAAAATCTTGTCTCTAATGGTATTTTTTGCAGACCAGTGCTGGGAGAAAACGGCGGAATTGTTTTAAATTGCGTACTTTCGTTGTTCGTTTTACTCCCCACCTTGTGCGCAACGGCCGCCAGTTAGATGTCTGCAGTGTTGAGCAATAATTATTTGTGGCCCGCAAAAACTCATGCATCCCATTGTTTGTGTGGAGTTCGCTAGTCGTTGCTTGTTGTTAAAGAATCTGGCCTTTGTTGTTGGGTTTTTTTTTTTTTTTTTTTTTTTTTCTGGTCATTTTGCATGTTCAGCTGGTTTTATCCTACGAGATTAGCTTGTGAAGAATGCTGATAGTATCAGCTCTCCCTGCCTTCAAGTGAAACGTCATGGATATTGATCGTTGGTGCCATTATCGAAGTGAATTTTGCATAGTAACAAATGTTGGATGTGTGAAGCATGTTATGGACTCCTGATTTTGAGTGCAGCTTGCTTCGTAAGCGATCGAACGAAGCAACCCGTCAGTGTCTTCGCAGAGCGCTAGATGTGCAGATCGTTTTTGGAAAAATTGTGCAGATGGCATCCTCTTGTGTGTTATCGGAGATTTAAGTTGAATTTCGCTTAGTAGTAATTAGCACTTTGAAAACATCACAAAATTAAGAGTATTTTCTTGTTCATTTCCTAAAGCATTTGCTTTATGCGTTCTTCATGGATTTTATCCAAGATTTCTAACGGTTTTCGTTCATGAGACGTCTTTGATCGAGTAATAGCGTTGCTGCGCTCGCTGATAAGGTTTTTCTGAGGTCCACTGGACAGTCGAGGTGAAGCTGATTTGGATCCATAAGCTAGGCAAGTACTGTTATAAAATTGATTTTGTGAGCGGTGTCGGATAGAACTCTGAGCATGGGTTGTTGCGGCGTTGACCAGTGTTTTTTGAATTCGGGGAATATCGTTTTGACCTCAAGTGTTTTCTTTTCTTTCAGTTGGCTGTTTAAAAGAATCAATATTGTATTACCGTGCATATTTGCAGGAACGAATTGGTCGAGGTTTTAGTGAATCTGTTTCTGAATTTAACCGGCACTGTGTTTTACAACTTTGTTTTGCTGATAAATCGTCCATAATACTCTTGTTTTTGCAGAGATAGTTAACGCATTTCTTCTGTTGTTGTTAGCACTCATGCGTTTTGTACTGCAATAGTTCTACAAAACGCATATTGTGTGTGTCTTTGTATGTAAAATTGTATGTGTGTGTATGTATGTATGTTTGTATGTATGTATGTGTGTATCTATGCATGAATGAATGTCAACCAAAAATAACGGCGCGCGCCAGGGTCTGAACACTTTCAGCTACCACACCCTGAATAAATTTGCCTGGCCGGAGAGTCTGAGACGCGTTTTTCGTTTTGCCTAATGAAGACTGGAAATGCGACCATAGCTAGTTCCCAAGCAGCCTGTGCTTCGTCATTATCCTTGTTGATGGCTTCCACTTCTAAATGGTTTCGATTTTTTGCGCTTTTAAAATGACATCTCTCAGCCTGTCTTCTTCGCTAGGCCACTGAATGAAAATAAATTTGCCCGGGAAAGTTCCGGGTGGACTCCATTTAAAAAGCAGTTGCACTCTGTACGCTTTTTGTCCTTTGCAGGATGGTGTCATAATGCTTGCTGTGAGTACTGCTAAGCTGCCCCTTTCTCTGTAAAATTCTGGGTCGGTTATTAGTCGGAATGTCCAAATGTTGGTGAACATTTTCACCAGCTCCTTTTGTGGTTCCCGGCGTTTGTTGAATCATTTTAATTTGTGTTTAAAATTGCTGATGGTTGCGCTGGCTGCAGAAAAGCTGATATTACGATGACTACTCGTAAGGACTTCGATGTAAACAAATAAACGATTGAGAGTTGTGTGGGCTCGGTGGTGTTTGGCTTGGATTATTAAGTTGTTTATGTAGTGGGTGCCATCCGCGCGGCATTTACATCGCAACAATCCATCAAAGCTTGTAAAACATTAATGGTAACATCAATTATTATTAATAATAATAATACTATTATTATTATTATTATTATTATTATTATTATTATTATTATTATTATTATTATTATTAT